AGAAAGAGGTAGAGTGAAGGTGCTGTCGAGTTACGGGGAGGGTGAAGAAACAGAGAAAGGCCCCTCTTCACCCAGCCTCTGGGGTATCTTGTAAACTGCAAGGATAGGGAGCTTTTTTTGTCTTGGAGGTACACAATTTTAACTTACAACATTGTGTTTCTTTTTATTTGGGCAGTTTGTCTAAATTTGGTTTATTCAGTATAGCCCCAGACTATTTTGTCTCTTTGAACTAGATGAAATAATTATAGCTTTTCCCCCTTGAACAATAACAAATCAAGCAAACCTGAAAGACTTGTGTTTTTCTATTTATTCCTTTTGTGTATTTCTAAAAAGTATGAAACCAACTGCTGCTTTCTTCTTGTGGCATCAAATATTCATAAGATTCATATCAAAAGAGTTACTGAAGTTTGACTTGTCTTCCACTTCACACTCTATTTTGATGAGAAATATTTTTGAAGACCATTAATCAGGGATACATGTTGCTGTGTAGTGAGTATGGAAACATGCAACACCGTTTATTGTGGCCCATGACGGAATGGAGCTTGCCTCCTTTTACACGTATGCAGTGCACGCCCTACTGAGGAACTGCTTCTCAGCTGGGAATTTTAGTATCCCTAATTCTGACTTGCCTTTTAGTACCAGGTCTGAGCAAACTGCCTTGAGGAAGATTGACTCCATGTCTGCCTGTATAGTCATGGAGAAACTCACTTTTCACAGCTATCAGCATCCATCCAGATGAGTCAGAATAAGAACTGGAGCTATCACTGGGAAATGAGCACAGTGGGTAGACCTGAGATAACCTCTCTGAGATCCTGTAAGTGAATACTTCCTGAGGTCCTGGAATTTTGCATATATTAATTTATTCAATAATTTATAGTCAAGGACTATTCATCAAGCACCCACTATATACCTCATGATACAGCAGTGACCAAGACAAGCTTCATCTTTAGGGAAGAAGATAAAGTGTGGGTGCTGATTTATTGGAATGCTGGTTCTAATATTTCCTTTATTGATATGGCAGGCAGTTAGAAATAGGATATGCTGTATCTACTACATATTCATAGAAAAAACAATCCTGGAAGTAAGTACCCAAAATGTTAACAGAAGTTATTTAAAATAATGGGATTATAGGTGATGTTTATTTTCTCCATTATTTCCTTCCAACTTTCTAAATTTTCTATAATATATATTATTTTTATATTCAGAATATTGAAAGCTCCAGTTACTGTTATCCCTTACAGTACGGAATCCAAATGTTTGAGCAAAAGTTTCCAGTAGGGCTCACAGGCCAAAGTGAGTTTAGTCTAGGACTCAGATTTTTCCCCAGAGTTCATCTTGGCAGGGCAAGGATGGAGGCATGGTCTCCATGTAAATCATGAATTAATGTCAAGCAGAAAGAGTAGTGGGAGAGGACTGGGAAGGCAGGGCAATTCACAGCCTGAGTCAGGGCTGGGTCAGGGCTCAGGAAACTGTCAACTCAAACTGTCATCCTGAGCTTTCCCAAGCCCATTGCCCCTGATTGGCAATTCTGAAATCCAAGAGCTCTGAAACCGAAAAGATCTTTCTTTTCACTCAATCAACAGTAAAATCTAATCTGACTTCTATTCATTTGGTGGTAAAATTTCACCTTAAATTACATGAAGGTGTTTATAGGCCACTTAATAACATAATTGTGTTTAATTTTTAGATGCTGCCTCAGACATGTTGGAGTTGTTAGATAACATATATTTTGTGTTCCATATGACCTTTCTAAAACCCACAAATACCTGATTCTGAAACACAAATGACTCTAGGGTTTTAGAGAAGTTATTGTAAATGTATCTGTCTATATGACGTTTCTCTGTAGATACATTGAAGTCACTTCTTTTTTTTATTGAGAAGGAGTCTTGCTCTGTCGCCAGGCTGGAGTGCAGTGGCGTGATTTTGGCTCACTGCAACCTCAGCCTCCCAGGTTCAAGCAATTCTCCTGCCTCGGCCTCCCAAGTAGCTGAGACTACAGGCGCATGCCACCACACCCAGCTAATTTTTGTATTTTTTAGTAGAAACGGGGTTTCACCATGTTGGCCAGGATGGTCTCGATCTTTTGACCTCGTGATCCGCCCACCTCGGCCTCCCAAAGTGCTGGGATTACAGGCATGAGCCACCACGCCTGGCCTGAAGTCACTTCTAACTCAAGTTTCCCAAAGCAGAACTCACCTTGCCCATCAAACATGCTTTTTTAGATGCTCTATCTCTGTTCATTTCATGGCTATACTCCCAGATACAGAAACTTAAAATGAATATCTTGGTGACCCGTGACTGTTTGTACTTAGAATTATTTACAGCTGTTAGTCTTCCAATAGGACATACTATCCCCAAACTTTTATTACACCAATCTCTCATTTTCATTTCTTACAGATTGATCATCCTAAAATGTGGTTGCCAAACCTTTAGTAGCATCCAGCTTTCTACCAAATTAATAAAGCACCTCACCCTGGAATTAAGGACCTTACCACATGCTCCCAACCTTACTTCTCTAAAACCCTCCAGAGGATTATTATTTTTTTTCCTAGAGAATTTTATTTTAGACTCCTTCCCGAAACATATTTAGATTTTCATATTTTAGTGACTGCTTATACCATCTCTGTCTCCTGGAGTAAACTTTAATTACACCAATTAACATCTTATATTTTCCAAGTGAAAATGGCACCTTTTCTATGAAGTCTTCTATGGTCAGCCTCAAATGACAATCCTTTGAACTCATACCATATATTAGCTACCTATCCCATGTGAAAAGTGAAAAGTATATCTCCAGCCTTGTAATGTCTATATTCGTGTATTGGCAGATATCCGCTTAACCCAACAGTAGAGCATATAGTTGGCCTTTGATAATGTGAATTTCTTTTTACTTAAAGATGTAATATTGTTAATGTCTGGTGTCTCCATATTGCCTATAGTGCGTGTAGTACATGTGCAGTAAATATCTGTCAAACACTGGGTTGAAACTACTACAGTGCAAAAAGTGGACACCTATTCCAAGATCCAAAATATTCTTGTAAAATGGATATGATATTCTGCATTAACCTATGAAAGCCCCCTAATCACAACATGTAAGTACAATCCTTTGCCTAGAGATGTTATTTTGGTCAAGAAGTCTGGAGCTTTCATGAGCTCCAAGAGGGCTTTCTGAAAGAATATTCTGTAAAGCCCCTGCAAAAGTTATCTTAGCAAAATTTCCCACACCAATTAAATGTGCAAAAATGGCTTACATGGAGATTAACCTCTGGGTTTAAGGGTAAGTTGACTTCCTCCTTTTATTTAAAATAAGTTACTTCCCACTGGATTGGAAAGCCAAATAAGGTCAAAATTTAATTCACTAGAGGCTGTGTGTTAAGAAAAATATGTAGCAATAGCATTTATTCTCTAAAGACAAATTTAATCCAATGATAGACAATCACTTAAAAATTAAGACGGGCATTTGGAAGATAAATACAGGGCAGGAATAAACTCTCAAGCATAGAGAATGAATAATGATAATTTTATGTCAGATGTTTATCCTTTTTACTATTTACATCTTATTCATGATTGTATTGAAAAATTATTGTTAAAAAATATTTTTTATCCAGCAGGTCTTCAGTGATGAGGAAAACAAGATATTTTCCAGAAATTATTTTTGTAGTTAGCAATCAGTTGGAAGCTTTTCATTGTGTTCCATATATAGAGAAAATGACTTCTCTAGAGGAATCTGATTCTACAGTCACAGTTCAGAATAGTGAAGTCTTCAGGCATTCTGTACTAGGCTGTTGAGTTATGCCTCGAATCCTTTGGGAGATGCCAACAAAATGTCTAGGTTTAAAGTTTTTCTGTTCTACCTTCCATGAATCTATTGAAAATACTCTCACTTATTATGCAGTAGAATTGAGCAGTTTTAATAATGTCTCTTCTTTTTTGAAATTTTATCTTCCCTTGGATTTCTGATCATTCCGTTCTTCTAGGTCTTCAACCTTGTAAGATTGCTCTTCGACAGTGCTCTTTCTTCTTCTCACAAAAATGAAATCTCTTCAGTGATTCTTAAATGTGTGTCCTTGCCTTAACTCTCTTTCCTAAGAAGTCACATGAATGGTAAATGGTGAAACTGGGATTTGAACCCAGGCTCGTGGACACTAAAGTCCAAGTTCTCAATCATTTCTTTGCCTAACACTAATCTTGTAGGTTATGTTTCACTATCGTCATTTCTGGCATTTACTGAATGCCATTTTTTGGTGACACTGTGTGCCAGGCACTGGGTTCAGACAGTTTACATATGCCATGCTAATCTTCATTAGGGGCCTTCAGTATTGTTCCAGTTTCCCAGGTGAAATTTTAGGCTGTGGGTGTGGTCCATCAGAATTTAAGGACTTGTCATTTGCATTTTCAATAAGATCTCAAAGGCAGGCACAATTCTGGAGCACAGTTACATGCTGCTTTAAAACATTAACACTTAAACTCAAATGTGTACATCAATAGGGTAGGTAGCATAAATAAGCAAATCAGGCGTTAAGGCAATAGGGACCAGTGAGGATTGTGGAAAATTGAGAGTTTATCCCCGACCTGAAGTCATTCAGGTTCAATTTGTAATGACCCTGTGCAAGTGAGCATGTAAGTACACCAGCCCACATGTGTATGTACATGCACACACACACACACACACATACACAAACACATAAGCATGCACACTCAGAAGGGCAGTTTGCAGTCTCTTCAACTATCACTTCCCCTTTTCTTTCACAAGCAAAAGTTATTAGGTAGAATAGTTAGATCAACAAGTAAGGACTTCCATTTTGGGGATGAATGTGAAGTAATCGGTTTACATGTGTTCATATTTTAGACTCTCAAGAACAGTCTGATAAATGTCTGATGATCACTTTTCAGGAGCATCTGCTTCAGTTGAATTGTTTCATTTAGGCAGTAATGAAAAAACAAGCTTTAGTACTTTCTCAAACAAGAAAACATAGATCATGAATTTCTTTCTTCTTTTATAGATGATCATAGTACTTGAGAGCACAGCAGTTGTCTCTCCACCTGAGGACTGACCCGAGGCTCCGCTTTGAGAGTGCAGTGCGGTGCCCACTGTGGCATGGACAGTCGGCAGGCCAGGCAGAGCCCCCGTCAGCACTGCAGAATGCCATGGGTGACTCCTTTGCTGCTTGGTTTTTCAGCACGGGCAGATGGGACCTCATTGTTCCAAAGTTTCGGTTTGGAAAATTCAGACATTAAGGATTAATCTACATTTTAAAGTAGTCGTCTTTGAAGGAAATTATGCTATAAATGAGAAACCTGTGTGGAGTTCTGGGTTCTTTATGTTAGCTTTGGCAGGGCCAGGAGACTGTTTTGATGATAGAGCCAGCATTGGAAACCTGTATTTTATCTCGCAGGAAAACGAAGCAAATTTAAAACATTCTGCATTTGCCTTTTGACACCCCATAACCAAAAGATGAACTTTAATTTCTGGGAGGCCTCCCAGTGATTAATGCCTTTACGTTTATGGCGTGAGAAGAATGAGCCGTATGTTACAGTTGGTCTTCTGTCCGTTTCTGAAGAGAGCCTGTGCCAGGATTTTGATGTGCACTCGCGTTCTGGCACCAGGCTGCACACTTCTCACCCAGCACAGAGCCAGCTCACAGATCCTGTTCGGCACAGCGACTCCAGACATGCAGCATGAATTTGAAGGAGGCCTCCTCAAATGTGGCAGGCACAGTCTCCCTCTTCCTATTTGGAGCCGTCTGTGGGGCTAGGACCTCTCTCAGCTGCCTGTAAAGCAGCCCTGGGAGAGCTGCTTTTGCTAGCTACTTACTGCAACAGTCCCAAGGAAGGTGGGGCGTGGCCCTCTACTGCTATTTCACAATTGTTTTCTATTTCCTACCTTTACTGATAAAAGAAAATTGTGACTTTTCTCTTTTCACATAAGCTTTAGAAATCACATGCTCTACTCTTGAGGGGACAGTATTGGAGTGAAGACCTTTGGGGCCTTCTTTAATTCCTGCATCTCCTGCGGGGGACGAATGACATTCACTAAGCCATGTGTGGTAACTGTTAATGCTGTCTACCAAAGATTTTTGGTTCTCCCCCACTTTATGGCTCATGTTCGAATGGTAATTCCTCTTCTGTGTGTAGCCATGGAACTTGCTTTGTTCAATAAATATAGATCAAAAGTGGCACGTGTTGCTTAGGACTGTAAGTGTCAAGAGCTGGTGAATAAGTTACTACTCTTACCTCTTGCTGCTGTTGTGATTGAAGAAGCCCCAGGTTGAGATGAGGCATCTGTCAGCCTGGGTCCCTGAGAAAGTCTGAAGAACAGAGCATCCCTGCTCACTAGTGTCAGACGCATGCCAGGAGCAAAAAATACGTGTTTTCTTCTTTTGGTTATTCACTGCAACTTGGGGATTGTTTGCTACTGCATCATAAGTAGAGCCACTACACTGCAGCTCAAACAGTACAGAGCCAGGCCCATCTCTTTCTGGTTTCACTCTTTCTTTTTTAGGTATCAGTAACATAGGTGAGTTTCTTCCATCTGGAAAAGAGACAAAGAAAGTTGGTTTTAGCAGGTCCACCATCGTCCAACTTTTCTCCCTGTGACAGGAGAGAAAGACCAAAGTCTAAATCAAATAGGGAGATAGGCAAACATGCTATGTTCTCTAATTAGATTAACCCTGAACACATTTACTATGTTTTGATCCCCCTTGGTTCGTATTCATCACTTCTCACTTTGGTTAGGACTACACAGGTAGGAAAAGTGCTGACGACTGTTTTCCAAAACCTCCAGCGCATTGTATACCACACCACTTAGTCCTCTATGTAGGCAACAGGTGTAGTATAGCATGCTATTTGTGTTGTTTCTTCAAAGTCCTGAAATGATGACAGCCTAGTGGCTTATAGGAGCAGTAGACAGAATTCAAAGATGGGTCCTACATTTTCAACCCCAGGTGTGTATATTCTGTATAATTCCCTTCCCTTTGGTGTATGAATGAAAATATCATTTGTGGGCCGGGAGCAGTGGCTCATGCCTATAATCCCAGCAATTTGGGAGACCGAGGCCAGTAGATCACTTGAGGTCAGGAGTTTAAGACCAGCCTGGCCAACCTGACTAATCCCTCTCTCTACTAAAAATACAAAAATTAGCGAGGTGTTGTGGTGCATGCCTGTAATCCCAGCTATTTGGAAGGCTGAGGCAGAAGAATTGCTTGAACCTGGGAGGTGGAAGTTGCAATGAGCCAAGATCATGCCCGGGAGATTCCATCTTAAAAAACAAAAAAGAGGAAAAAAAATATCATTTGTGCACAAATGAAATATTACTCCCATAGTTAGGCCACAGTATATAGCAAAGATAAAAAGATTTTGCCAATGTAATTATGGCCACTAATCAGTTGAGTTTGAGTTACCCAAAAGGGGGATTATCCTGGTTGAACCTAAGTTAGTCAGGTAAGCTAGCTTGCTTTCTTTCCTTTGTTTTCTTTCTTTCTTTCTTTCTTTCTTTCTTTCTTTCTTTCTTTCTTTCTTTCTTTCTTTCTTTCTTTCCTTCCTTTTCTTTCTGTTGAATAATAAATTTATTATTGTTTGAATCTACTAAATTGTGGTAATTTGTTATTCAGCAACAGAAAATGAATACAAAAGCAACATGACTAGACAGGTATGGCTTTCTTTTTTTAATATCTGAAACTAAGAGTGTTGTCTTCTCATGTGGCCAAGACAGAACTGGTGGTGAGGACCTCTGTGTCCCAAACTTCTCTCCTTGAGCAATTCAGAAGGGTGATGGAGACAGAGCACGGTCTCTGTGACTATAGACAACCTTGTCCTTCAGCCCAGTGCTGGCTGTGAGAGGAAATGGAGAGCTCCCTGAAGACTGTTGAGTTTCAGTGGTAACTAAATGTGACAGAAACTCAAGTCTCCAATATTACTTAGATCTTTTTTCTTCAGGATGACAAGTCTGAGTTCCAGCACCAGCATAAAGATGCTATATTTGCTATCAACTGCAGGAATCCATTGAATGACTTCCTTAGGTGGAGTAAGAACACTGATTGTTTTAAAATTGATCACCAAGAAGCCTCTGGGAGAGAGTGATACTGTTCTGCTTGATGAAATGTAAACTCAATTACATTAAATATTAAATAATATGCTTATTAGTTCCAAACAGAATGTATTTGTGGAGCCTGATAATAAAAGCCTTTTCATCAATTTATGTTCATTCACTTTAGTCTTTTTTCTGACAATGGATTGCAGTTGTGTTTCAGTCATTTCTACCCTTCCTTCTCATCTGCATTTTTGCTCTGGGGACAAGAAGAAAGATTGCTTCACCCCTCTTTCACTGCACTCTCCTGCGCCTTTTGGGACAAGGATGAATCTCAAAGAGTCTGAGTCATAAATGGGGAGTCATGGCTGCAATAATTCCTCATGCCTGACACTCTGTCATAAAGGCAGAAGAAATGTGTTCAGCTGGGAGAATGAGAGAATTTGTGGGGTGAATTCAGAAGCCACTGCCCTTGAACTTTTTGTACAGTATCCAGGAAAGTCTTGGAGTGGTTAATGTTGATGGTGGTAAAGAAGTGAACAGGGGTAGCTCAAGTCCTCTGAGTCTTTAGAAGACAACATCAGTGCAGGGTAAACAGGGGCAACATTAGTGTTGTCTTCTGAGCACTCAGGAGACATGAGTTATCCCCGTTCACCTCTTAAAAAGTAAAACGAGCTGGGCACGATGGCTCATGCCTGTAATCCCAGCACTTTTGGAGGCCGAGGTGGGTGAATCATGAGCTCAGGAGATTGAGGCCATCCTGACTAACCTGGCGAAACCCCGTCTCTACTAAAATACAAAAAAATTAACCAGGCATGATGGCATGTGCCTATAGTCCCAGCTACTTTGGAGGCTGAGGCAGGAGAATAGCTTAAATCCAGGAGGCAGAGGTTGCAGTAAGCCAAGACTATGCCACTGCACTCCAGCCTGGCAATAGAGCAAGACTACTTCTCAAAATAAACAAACAAAAGAACAAGCTATAGCTGTTAATGTTTTTGTTATCCTCAGATTTGATTATTCCTCTCTAGGAAATAAGAAATCAATCTAAGGGAAATGCTATTCTTTATGAACGGCTAAGGTCTTTGTGCTCTTCTACATTCAGATCAGTCAGTGATCTCTACAGTTTTATTGATAAATTCTTACTGGTTTTATCACACTAAGAATGACCATATACATTCTAAATCCATCTCAAATGATTTTAAGCAAATTTAATAAGTGATCACAGAAGAAATATAGTAATTTCACATTTTTACTTGTAGAATTTCCTTGAAAGGGTTTTAAGATTAAAACGTTTTTCAACTTTGCCCTTCATTCTTCATGTTTTCTCATTTTCTATAGAAAGATAAATAGAAAAAACAGAAAATGTAAATGTAGGACTATAGATAAAACCTGTTAAGAAAACTGACTATTAATGGTTTATGATATAGTACTATCAAAACAAATATTCCCATCACCAAACCATGTGTAAATTAAATTTTTCTGACAGTCGGATCTGAAGGCATTCATCCTTTCTTGCTCCGTTTTCCAGTTCCTCCCTTTCATATTTAAATGGTCATGGAGCCCAGTAACTCCTCTGCCATCCCTCCTCTCTCATTTGTCTGCTATCATTCAAGGCTAGGACCTCATGACCTCAAATGTGCCTTTATTTGCTAACAAAGCATGGAACTTTAAACTGCTTGAGCCCAGGTTCCCACTTTCAGTTTGGACTCACCTTATGACACACAGTCTTCTTTGTAGGAGGCTCTGGGGTCCACTGGCCCTGGCATTTCTCCATGCCTCACTTTCCTTTGGTACTTGCCATCATACAATTGTCTTAGTCTGTTTGAGCTGTTATAACAAAACACCATAAAGTGAGTAACTTATAAATAACAGGCATTTATTTCTCATGGTTCTGGATGCTGGGAAGTCTGAGATTAAATCACTGGCAGTCTCAGTGTGAGGTGAAGGCTTACTTCTTGGTTCATAAACAGCCATGTTCTCTCTGTGTCTTCACATGGTAGAAGGGATGAGAAAGCTCTTTGAAATTTCTTTTATAAGAGCACTAAAAGGCTTTGCCCTTGTGACCTGTGACCTCTCTCCTACCAAAGGCCCTACATTGAGTATGTGATAGCATTTGACTATGTGATGGTATTAGGAATACCATCATATTGGGTGTCAGGAATTCAACATATGAAATTTGAGCTGATACATACATTCAGTTTATACCAGGAATATATCATAGGGGTTATTTTCTAAGCCTTGCTATTCAGCAGCCCATTTTTTGAAAGCCTTACATTATAAGCATGTCAGACCTTTTTCTTTTGGTTGTACAGTCATAGATAGGTTATAAGAATAAAACTTTTTAAAGATGCAAAAAACCGAAATAGTTGCTGTCACCTATCTGAGATGTTAACTAAAAGATATTTTTGGCTTTGTTCCTTTAGAAGATGGGTTTTACCAATTCTATCTAGGTTTCCATATTTTACCTTAGTAAAGTCCAATTTAAAGTGAGCCTCACAAAATCTGGAAACATTTCCCCTGAGAGTTGGAGCAAGAGAAGGATGTTCATTCTCACCATCCCTATTCAACATAGTCCTGGAAGTCCTAGACATAGCAATCAGGCAAGAGAAAAAAAAGAAGAGGCATAAAAGTAGGAAAAGAAGTCAAGCTATCTCTTTCAGCTGACAATATGAATCCATTCCTGGAAACCTCTAAAGACTGCCGAAAGCTCCTGGAACTGGAAAATGACTTTAGTAAAGTTTCAGGATACAAAATCAAGGTGCAGAAATCAGTAGCCTTTCTGTACACCAATAGCATTCAAGCTGAGAATAAAATCAAGAACACAATCCCATTCGCCATAGTCCACAAAAAAATGGAAACACCTAAGAATACAGCTGACCAAGGAGATGAAAGCTCTCTACAAGAAGAACTATAAAACACTGGTGAAGGAAATCAGAGATGACACAAATAAATGGAAAAGTATTCTATGCTCATGAATTGAAACAATCAATATCACTAAAATGGTCATACTGCCCAAAGCAATTTATAGATTCAACATTATTCTTATCAAAACTACTAACATAATTTTTTACAGAATTAGAAACAACTATTTTAAAATTCCTATGGAAACCAAAAGGAGCCTTAATTGCCAAAGCAATTCTAAGCTTTGGAAAGCCAGAGGAATTTTATAGTTTTGAATTTATAGATTCAACACTATTCCTATCAAAACTACCAACATGATTTTTTACAGAATTAGAAAAAACTATTCTAAAATTCATATGGAGCCAAAAAGGAGCTTATTGCCAAAGCAATTCTAAGCTTTGAAAAACAAGAGGAATCATATTACCTGACTTCAAACTATATTGCAAGGCTACAGTAACCAAAACAGCATGGTCCTGGTACAAAAACAGGCACATAGATTAATGGAACAGAATAGTAAATTGAGAAATAAACCCTCCTATCTACAGCCATCTGATCTTTGACAAGGCTGACAAAAACAACCAATGGAGAAAGGACTCTCTAGTCAATAAATGGTGCAGGAATAACTAGCTTAACCATATGCAGGAGAATAAAACTGAACCCCTTCCTTTCACCATATGAAAAACTTAACTCAAGAAGAATAAAAGATTTAAAGCTAAGACCTCAAACTATAAAAGTCCTAGACAAAAACCTAGGAAATACTCTTCTCAGCATTGGCATTGGCAAAAAAATTTTGGCTATTTCTCCAAAAGCAACTGCAACAAAAACAAAAATCAACTGGTGGGAACTAATTAAATTAAACTTATGCACAGCAAAAGAAACTATCAACAGAATAATTACTCTAATAATCAATAAGGCTAGAATAACTTTGAACCACTGAGAACAATGAATAATAGATTCTGAAATTCCTAGAGGCTAGACAGATAGGTAGCCAACAAAGGTACTGCTAACTAAGCAAAATAATCATGAGCAGGTGAGCAAAAGGTTATGATTAGCCTCCATAATGGAAACTTTCTTAATCAGCCTATTAAAACAGAAGCACACTCTTCCTATAAGAATAGCCTACCTTGCCACTCACCATGTTACCCAATTCTGTGATGTCTCTTTATACTTTTCACTTTTAACACCATAATTTTCCCCAATTTTATGCTTCTATTTTATCATCTACTGCCCCCCAGTTCCCTGCCAAGAATATAAATTGCCCAAGAGCATTTCTTGGAAGTCTATTTTTGACCTAATCCAAGCACTGAGAATAGTAATTGGCATATAGTAGGTGCTCAATGAACTGTGGTTAATGAACAAATGAGTTTCCCTCACTGTTTCAGAATTTTTTTTCTGACCAGTACCATGGTGGAGTATAAGTGGTTTATATCATGCAATTAAAAAAAATTGAATGAATCTTGTGGCATTATAAAGATATTGTTCATTCCTTTATAGGAAGCCTTTATG